CTCTCTATGATTTGTCATAACAGAGGGGAAAAAAATATATGATGACTCCAACTTCAAAAGTACTCATGCGTGTTGAACATCTTACTTGTGGAATCATGGTGCAGAGCAACTATGTTGACGTTAGGTGAGGAGCTTGATTTAGACAATGTAATGGCACTATCTTGTGGCATCTTGAACTATGTTAAGCTAGCATACATAGCTGGAACTATGTTAAAGTGTTAAAGAGGAGGTTCCTTTTGACAAACAGTAGTGCTTTGATGCTATCTTGTGGCATGAATAACAAGTAGAAATTGTCGATTTCTTGTGGATTTCACCATTTGCAACAAGGCTTGGTTTCTATCCTGACTGTTCAACCATTTCACTTTGTAACTCCTAACAGTATGTCTGACTTTTCAACCAATCAAAACACATCTGCCTCAGATTGAAAAGCTCTCTTCGACCTTGCAAAACATTGCTCCAAATTTACCGAATATTTCATCATCTCGACATGTTCCACACACATTGAAATGGTAACTGCTCTGCTCGATAAATCTGTCCGCCATAATGCGACACTAATTGCCACTTTGCATGTGTGTGTGTGTGTGTGTGGGGGGCATGAAAGGAAGAAGCATTGCGCCTCAAATTGGCAAAGTTTAAAAGGCTTAATCAATGTAATGTCATTGTGATAATGTTTTCAACGATAAAAAAACAGAACAACTTGTGGAGTGGAGGGCTACATTTAGTTTTGCTTCTGACAAGCAACATGTGTTCAGATAGAAACCGCACAGCGCAATAAAATAAGGGGTGTGAAAATTGATTTCTTGTACTTTATAAAAGGAGCACAGGGTCACATCAAAGGCAGGCCAAAAAGTGGGCCCGCCGCCTCTGATTAAAAAAACAACAACAAAAAAAGCCTTGGTACCGTACAGTTCCCGCCTTCAATGTCTTGTTGTCTTCCTGTACTTCACTGTGCTTTTCACAAATGGTTGATAACATTCATTTCACAGAAATTTGCCTTGACCTCTACAGGGCATGCTGTGTGGTTAGCGATCTCCCCGAAGGTTTTCAAAGAGCAGACGTATTTTCCAATAGTATTGATGGCCTACAAAGAAGAATTGTGGCTTGATAGTGCTGTTATGAAAAGGTCAGTTAAGTCGAGTGAGTCCCCTCCCGGGTATCAAATGCTCTGCTTTAGCGACATTCCACTCGACTTGGGTGGAACCCTGGAACCTCCTTATTGCTGCTTTCTAACCAAATTGCACGGAGAGATTAACCGTTCAACCATGAGGTTTTTCGGCACTAGCATTGTCATAATGTGGCTCTGCATGGAAATAAAGCAAGGAGGAACTGAATTGAATAACTGCGATTGGCTGGCAACCGGGTCAGGGTGAGCCCCCTGCCTCGACACCCTGAACCGGTTGAAGACAGGTGGGATAGGCTCCAGCAAGCCTACAACCCTCGTGAGGGTAAGCGGTTCCGATAATGGATTGATGGAATTGAATAATGTACTAATTAAACCATAATATGGAATTCACGGCTATTTCCTCAAATGGTCCTCGATGATTCTGATACCCATCTGGCGCAACACATTTGAAGCTCCAAACAAAAAAGATTTGTCATAGCAGCGCCTGATGGGCCGTTTGAATTCCTCTTATTATTATGTTATTGACAAGATGGATTCCGACAAATCCTTTTAATTAGCTTGTTTTGCGCTTTAAAGTAAATGAATGAAAGACGCAGTAAGGTAACGGAACATGAACGTCACTTCTTTCTTCTTGCCTTTCTCGGATCCCCACCCCTCCCCATCGCCCATTAAAAAAACACACAGACACTAAAAGCAAATGTTATAATCCCTCGCTCCAACCCGGAATGAGGCTAATAGTATCCTCCCAATATCCATTGTTGGTTAAGGCCAGTATAAAAAAAAAACAAAAAAAAAAACTATCGGGCAGTTTGAAAAATGTCAGTCCACTTTACCGGCAAGCAGCCAAACAAAGCAAGCAAAAGGGCAGCCATTTATGATCATTACAGGTATTATCAGCCGAAGAAATGCGATGGACAAATTTGCTTTTATCTATAAAAGTATTATTTTAGATCTTCTGGGATATTTTACATCTTCTGGAATCCAATCTAGCGATGTCTTAATGTTTAACTGTGACATTGAATACATGATCATATCTGAAGGGCAGAAGAGCCAGTTATTGTATCGGAGAATAACTGAACTTGAACTGAACTATGTTTTCATTTGTGTCTGTAATATTGTCATTTTAGGATTACTACTGTTATTAATAGTGACCTCAGATTTAATTGGGTTAAATTAGGTGTACCGTACGTCCTCAAATAGTGGTGCGGATTTGTTCATTTAATCAGCCAGCTGCTGACAATGTGGAAAATATATATTAGAGAGCAGGTTTTTAGTTTTACAAATGTGGATCTTTTTTTTTTTGAGTAGTTCCCGCAGGCACAGGGAGAACATTCAAACTCCACACAGAAATGCCGGAGCTGGAATCGAACCCTGCACCTTCGCACAATGAAGCCGACGAGCTAACCAGCCAGCTGCCACCCTGAATCATTCACTGTATGAAAATATTAGATACAGTAACGTAATATTGATTTAAAACAGAACAACGTACCACCGTGCAGAATGTCTGCCAGGTTTATGGACCAATGCAATTTTTTACAAATCTCTTAAATTTGCCACTAAATTCTTGTGAAAGAGCATTGCACAGAGCATATCCTGTTTGTTTCTCTCATCTTTTTTTAAAATATAAGTACACCTCAGCAAAAGTGAACATGAGTAATGGCATGCTTGACCATCAATCAAATGTGGGCGGGAGCAAGGCGGCTCAGCACACCACCTGCTGTATTGATATTCGTACCGGCACTGAAAGGAGGGAATGGGATGGTGCCACAGGGGAGTTGAAAAACTAAGTGGTCTGTTTTTACACCGGGGATATTAAACCCGCTGCAGAAGCGAACACCATCCATCAGGACCTGCAGTTTGAGATGCGAGGCTGAGGGCTTTCACGTCACCTTCTCAAAACGAGCAGCGCACACTTCATTTAAAACAGTCAATGAGGCCACATGACTGATGAAGAGAGCAACAACTGAACAAGTGTCTCGGTCGAGAATTAAGACATTTGTCTTTGTCGCTTCTTATTTTGAGCCAAACTTTTCCCAAAGTGCACACATTGTGCTGTTTAATATTCATCCAGTCAACAAGCTGCCAAGTACAGCAAGTCCATTTATCACCTCGACTGTCACGTGGCTTCTCACATTTACACTTGGTCAACTGAAAAACTCTTCAAAGAATGTCTGGTTGGCTTTTCATTTGGATTTTTTGAATAGAAGGGCACCAGTGATGGTAAAAATGCAGAAATGTGATGATGACCATAGAAGAGAAAATGAAACTTGTCTCTTTCCTGGCTCAAGAAGAAAGGGTAGTGGGAGAAGAAACTAGGCTAACTGAAGGTTAGCTTATCTGGCAACTGGAGTGAAAATTTGTGCGTCATGGACATTAATAGTCAAAACACTAACTATACCCCAAACTACGATCACTGAACACTTCAATATCATTTCAAACTCGTCTTCCAATGTCACCTTGAAATTATATGGCTTACAGATAGATCATTTGATTCTAAAACAATGTGCCAGAACTATGAGGACACTGCTGTGTACGTGACCATTTCACAATCTGTAAAAGTACCGATTACTATTCGCTACTACCCATTTCAATACAATTCTGACTTTTCACTCATCTCAAACCATCTTTCGCCGTTAAGATGGATAGAATTGCCTTTAATCCATTCCAGCTCCGTCAGGCAAAATCCCAGCAATAAAGTTGGAAGGTAAGTACACTAAGAAAAATAGCATTTTACAGTACTGCACTTCATAAAAATATCCAGTACTAACATAATTAAATACAATGTATTAAATACAACAGTTTTTACATCATGATTTCATTCTTCATTTTCACTTTACATGCTTCGGCCACCAGGGGACAGTAGAACCTAGACAGATATAATGTGCTTTGTTTCGATAGCATATCATGAAAAAGACCGTTGCAACAGTTCTTCGCAAAAGATAAAGAATGCATGCCTGTGAGTATCAGTATATTGTCTATCTGTATGCATTGCTCCATTCGTTTCAGTGGAATCGATCATTGCCAAATTTGCCTACTTTATAGTTTGTATCTAGAAGCCTGTTAATGCATGTATTGTGCACTCGCTTGTTTGTGTGCGTGCCTCTGTGCATTTATTTACACAGTACTAGCTAAATATGTATCAGAAAGTCATTCAAATGATTCTCTTTCTCATCCAAGCTATGATGGATCATACATATACAACAGATATTGTCCAACAGATGCTATTTATGAAGCGAATAAAAACATGTGTTATATATTTTTTTTTAAACTAGGGCTGCACCAACGTGGAGATTTAGACACGATTATAATATTAGTCAGAATAAAAATTTGATAGTCACTTGATAATCACTTTGTCTTTAATCCCTTAACAAAATCCCATACAAAAATGAAGATATGAATTACAAGTACAACATGTGACTGTTTCCAATATTTTGTCCTTTACTATTCATTTAACTTTATAACAGAGGGAAAAATTGTCAAAAATGGGCCAAAATAGATCTTTGCCATTTTCTTTGTTATTAATTTAAGTATGAATGTCATTATTTTGTCGAATGTTGTAATCTGTTAATGTGTTTAAAAAAAAAAAAAGCCAATTTTTGGACAATTCTTAAACAGCTACTATCGGCCAGCTGGTGAATCGCTTGTGCCCAAATAACTAAACTAACTTGTGTGAACTCAGCCAATTATCATTAAAATGAAAATGTTCTGAACTGGGTCATTTTAGACCCACTTCGAGAAAACTAGAGGGTCCAGTCACTCATGCATCTCGGGGTTAATTCCACATAAGTGCAACATCCCATCTCGTTTTAAAGGCATTCTTGAGTAATATTAATATGTTGTTGATGTAAGGTTCTCGGGGTAAACTGGTGTTTGTGCGTGTGTGTGGATGAGTGATTGATGACTTGCGGGTCCAGTAACTCTGCTCCTTTATTTGTTTACAGCTGATTTTCACATTCTGCCGTTGAAGTCATCAATCTTGGTGAAATAAATAAAAGTGACAAATTACAGTGTGAGCTCTTTACACCTGTCAAGGCAACACCAACACAAACATTTCACCGTCCTTTGGGTGCCCTTGTGATTGCGATAATTGATGATCTTCATCGCCGTCGGAACGAAGTGTGACTTTGCTGTTGCTTTCTTTCTGTCAAGAAGAATGCAGGTCGGACTTCTATGGTATCACGCTGCCTCCTCTTCTGTCATTTGATTTGATTTTCATCACATCATCTTTTTGGAGCAGACTATTCCTTCTGCGTTTCTGGCAAAGACAAAAAAAAAAAAAAAAGATTTGAAAAAGGATGACGCATATTGACATAAATTTCCTACAATCGTTTTTTGTCCACTTTAAGATTACATCTTTTTAAATTTTTTTGTCACACTCAATACTTTTCAAGATAAGGTTCTGCATGATTTAGTTTTCAATCATTTAGCCACACTGCCGTGCCTTTGTTGCATCTTCAATGGCAGGAATGGGAAACTTTAATGATGAAGGGAGCCACAATTTTTCATCATCACTACTGGGGGGCGGGGGGGGGTGCATAGGACCATGCACTTCCTAACAAGCAATTTCTGCCATCTAGTGGTGAATTGGGATATTACAATTTAAAGTATACAGTGGGCCCCTTCTATTCGCTGGAATATATGTGAAAATCTGAAGATATATGAAGCCCATTGAAATGCATTACAGGGGGCAAAAGAAACGTTTTTTTTTCAGTAGAAATTCTTAAAACATTCTTCAAAAAACACTGATGAACCTTCAATACGTGTTTACCATGGAAAAACAAACAGTATGGAAAAACAGCAAAAATAATGAATGAATGAATGAATGATGACTCCGCAGGTGCCGAACCGCGATCACGTCATGGTCCACTGTTGTTTACTCTGTGTGTGTGTGTGTGTGTGTGTGTGTGTGTGTGTGTGTGTGTGTGCGTGTGTGTGTGGAGAGGCAGGTCCACTCTCCGCCTAATTTGCTTTATGAAGATGAAGCTTGGAGGAAGCAGCAAACTGAGCAGGTGGAATTTAATCCAATAATCCAGTCCTAAGTGCACTTTTCAGCACAAAGACCCAAGAGTTTCAGGGCTCAGGAAAAAGTCAGCGAACTGCCTACTTCTGAGAAGTCATGGTGGGGAAGGGATAAAGACAGCAAAATGCCTCAAAAGTCAAACTCAAGTCACAGCGTGCGATGTTTCTATGTGAATATTGGAGTTGTTAACAGGCAGCCAGTCATCGCAGTCATCTTGTTGCGTGGTCCTTGAAGAGTAACAGATCAAAATTTTCAGGTTACTTTTTAGATGGATGACCACCACAAAGGCCAAACTTTTAACAAAAATAAAAATTGGTGCATTTTGCTATTTTTTAAAATAGTACCATTTTAGATCAGAACTGGGCATTTTATGGCCCGCGGCCCGGCTCTTACTGGGCCGCGAAGAGTTGCTTGGAATTAAGAAAATAAAAGCTCCTTTCAAAATTTTACATAGTCCGTGGACTAAAACAGCAGCGCTTTTACTTTGAAACCTGTTTACGGTGCACATGCGACATTTACATATAGGTACTCTGTCCGAGTCCATGTGATTAGCATCAAGTCATCGTCATGGTAAACCTTGAAAATGTTCACCAAAAAACAAAAGACAGACGCCATGATTTCAAGAAAATATGGACTATCCATCCATCCGTTTTTCGATCTACTTATCCTCACAAGGGTTGCGGGGGATGCTGGAACCTATTTCAGCTGTCTTCGGGCAGGAGGCGGGGGACACCCTGAACCGGTTGCCAGCCAATCGCAGGGCACACAGAAACGAACAACCATCCGGCCTCAGACTCACACCTAGGGACAATTTAGAGGAGTGTGTTTTTGGAATGTGGGAGGAAACCGGAGAACCTGGACAAAACGCACAACGTCAGTTTATCACCGAAGTCAGTGATAAACAGTATTCACAAAGAGAACACGCAAAGAAGCTGAGATTCAATCCCAAGAACCCTCAGAACTGACCAGTCCAAGATTGGCTCGATTTATCTCACTGAACAGGATAAAAACAAAACACTGAAACATGTTTACTTCTATTTTTTTTTCTGCATTGTTTGGCAATTGGGACGAAAATGTGAGTTATGTTACAGTGCTACAAGCATATTGTGGTCTCTTCATAGAAAGTTAAAAACAGAAAGCATTGCAGTGTTAATGTTACTGAAAAAGAATGACAAATCTTGCACAATTACCATTGTTTTGCATAATTTCACTGAAGAAATATTTTTTGTCAAACAACCACACTCTCTCATTAGCTAACAATAACACATACTCTTACCAGCTTCTGTAAACAATGTCATTTACTTATTTCAATGTAGAAATCAAATCTATAATCGGAGCCGGTCCTCCACAATATTTTCTGCTTCCCATTTGGCCCCCGGGGAAAAATAATTGCCCACCCCTGATTTAGATTCTGGGCCGGACTGTTCCATATCCACCATAATGACTCTGTGGCGAATGTGAATAAATATTTATCCGGCTCTGCACTGGAGGTTGAACAACTTGAGACTCATTCATCCAATTCCATTTAGATAACTTCATAGCCTTGCAAACATTCGGAACTTGTCGAACTCAAACATCAATTCGTACAACACAACTCAAGAAAACAAAAAACAAGAAATTAATCAATTGTATAGATTACTGAGAATCTACACAGACAATATTTAGCAAGCACAGCGGTATTTCTTTTAAGTGATATCGTTGACACCAAAAAATGACTTACTTTAATGTGCTGCAATGAATTCATGCATTATTGTGGTCTTTAAATTGTTCGAAACAGTTCAACAGCATGTGTGTGTGGCTCAACCTATTCCAACCTGTCATCCCTGTCATCCGCAGGTACGGCGACATGGTGCCAAAGACAATTGCTGGAAAAATATTCGGATCTATCTGTTCGCTCAGTGGCGTGCTCGTGATCGCCCTGCCTGTGCCCGTCATTGTTTCCAACTTCAGTCGCATCTACCACCAGAACCAGAGGGCAGATAAACGCCGTGCCCAGAAGGTAACGGATTTTATCTTCTTCGATAATGAAAGTGGATGGCAGGATTAACTAAGATTTATTTCTTTTTTTTATATCTTATACAATTTATCCTGTTCAGAAACTTAATCAGACGTTATTTCATTTCCATATTTTTATGCAATGTGATTATTTTTCATGAAATGAGTACAAAAAAAAAAAAAAAACAAGGACAAAAGGTTTGTCCTCAATCAACCATTTGTCCAATGCTACAAACACACCAAAACTCAACAATGTATTGCCCTTCTAGTCATTCTTCATTCGTGTATCTGTCACACGTACACACACACACACACACACACACACACACACACACACACACACACACACACACACACACACACACACACACACACACGCACACACAGAACACAAAACACACGCACTCCATAGTCGAGTGTTAAATGTTTGCTATCCACTCACTGCTCTCACCTAGTGAGCCTGACCTTTTCCACAGGATGACATAAGAGAAGCATGACGCTAAGAGATGCTTCGCCGGGAGCAAAATGACGAGGTTGACAGATCCAAATGCTGTGACACACTCTTGTTTGTCTCATGCGGGCGGACACACATTGATGCTTCGTTAAGTAAACTTACGTCCTCTGTCAAATGAGAAAAGAATGCAAATGAACTAGTGGAACCTCGACTTGAAAAAATCGGAAGCCATCGTTTGCAAAAGAAATGTAAATCCAATCAAACTGCTCCGGACATTCAAAGTTATAAACAAAAAAATACATTTGAATACACAATAACTAGAGCGGAGGTGGCCAACCCGCGGCTCGCGAGCCGCATGCGGTTCTTTGGCTGGTTCCATGCGGCTCCCGGGCTTTCACACAATTGTCGAAAACGCCTCGGCGATTGCGTTGCCATTCAAACAACGGTGCTTAATACACAGAACGTACTACGTCAGCCTATCATCAATCCCGTTACTTGATTGACATAGAGGGCAACCAATCAGATGACTGAATCACCGATCATGCGCAGACAACGGCGCTAAGTGCTAAGCTAGTCTGCGAATTACCTCTGTTTTTAAGGCAGGGGTGCCCAATACGTCGATCGCAATCAACCAAGAGCCAACAGACTGGTCCCAAGTCGACCGCGAGCGGTGGGAGGAGGCAATGGGGGGGGGAAGATTTGTGTGTTTGTGTCTTAAGGTTTTATTTATGTTCGGGTGCTCCGGCTGTTGCTCGTCGTGGCGCGCATGCATATGTGCGCGAGTGCATGGTCGTGTGTGTGTGTGTGTGTTTGTGTTTGTGTGTGTGTGCGTACGAGTGTGTCTGTGTGTGTGTGTTTGTGCAGTGGCGTAAGAATGTGCGGTTTGGCGGCACACAAAACTCGTGCCTCACTTGATTGATTGTTTTACATTGGCGGCCCGATGGTCGAGTGGTTAGAGCGTCGACTTCACAGTGCAGAGGTGTAGGCTTCGATTCCAGCTTCAGCCTTCCTGTGTGGAGTTTGCATGTTCTCCCCGGGCCTGCGTGGGTTTTCTCCGGGTAGTCCGGTTTCCTCCCACATTCCAAAAATATGCATGGCAGGCTGGTTGAACACTCAAAATTCTCCCGAGGTGTGAGTGTGAGCGTGGATGGTTGTTGGTCTCTGTGTGCCCTGCGATTGGTTGGAATTGGCAACCGGTTCAGGGTGTGCCCCGCCTACTGCCCGAAGACAGCTGGGATAGGCTCCAGCACTCCTCCGCGAATCCTTCTGAGGATAAAGTGGATCGGAAAATGAATATTACGTCATTAATGAGGCCATATTGTCCTCTTATATGTTTAATAATTTTGTTTTTTCTTCCTTTCAGACACTTTCAGGGTCTTACAAAATAAAAAGTTTCATCTCTCTTTTTGTTAATGACAGTCAATATTAGTAACTGAATTATGTACAAATGCAAGAAAAAAAATGATGCGTCCCTTCGGTGATATCCATTGTTGCCCAATAAACAAAGACGACCATAGACCGCATTGGAAGAAGAGAACCATTTATTCTTTGCTCTGTTCTACAAAACTTTATTACAACATAAAGCTGACGAACAACCGTGATGTGGCTTTAGTTTTTTTTTGTCAGATTGAAACTTCATTATCACAACGTTGTGATTGAATTCCCGTAAGATTCTGACATCTTTTCACATCTTATTCGTCGTAACTTTGCATCTCTACTCCTGTAATTCGACAACTTTCTCATAACATTACAACATATTTCATAAATGTATACTTGTTTCTTCTTGTCACTTTGCAATTTTGTAATTTTACAACTTTATTCTGTCTGGACAGTTTCATTTTCAAAACGTCATGCCTTTTTGTAACATCAAGACTTCTCCTAAACTTGACTTCATTCTTGGAAGAACTTTCACTCTCATAACATTTCAACTTGATTCTTGAAACGTTACGACGGCATTCTTGTCGCATTTTATTCCAATTTTTCAGTCTCAAAATTTAAGGATTATTTCTTGTGATGTCACAAATTGATTTTCTTTTTCTTTCTTATTGGAATGTAACAATGTCTTTCTTGGAAGTACGTAACTTTATTCTTAACATTGACTTAATTCTCATAACTTTACTACTAAAATGACTACTTCATCCTTTTAACATGAACTTTTATTGCGTGATATTATAACTCGTAACATCGACTTGACTCACGTGAAAACAATTCTCAAACGTCTTGTAATATTCGTAATAAAAGCCTTTTTCTCACAATCTGACCAACTTTTTCCTCCTTCAGTTTGGCCCTAACACTCCTCGATAATATTCCATTCGCCAGTGCAGAGCTTTTCCTCTAAACCTCATCACGGATGATGTTGATTTTGACCGATCTTGAACTCAAGCAAAGCCAGAGCAGAGTAAACTTAACTCAACCTCCATCAAGACCCAATCGACCATCAAAAGAGTGACGGATGCTCGCAAGCCCGACCAATCGCAGTCGGCTTCCTGCCGGATCAGAATCGGTTATTCCCTCACACTCTTCATCCTCGCGTCAAGCGCAACCTTTGATCAACCGAGACGAGCACGAGGCAGCATTCTCGCTGTCAAACTCATTAACCAAATGCAACACACAGAAACGGACACACTCCATTACACATGCGGCGCGAAAACGTGACAATTATATTGCTGCGTAGCTATCTAAGGCTACGGTTTCGAAAAGTTGCCCGACTAATTCTGCGACTTTATGAGCTATGTCAGGTCTGGTTTATTGGGCTGCGTGAGGAGCAGAAGCGGCTTGAGGAGATCACTCATTTTTACAAGCGCTTCAGGCAGCTTCATATCCTTCACAGCTGCCCTAATATCCTCTTCATTTGAGCAAATCTCATTCCGATATCATCTCTCTCTCATTCTGTGTCACTTTCGATCGCCCCCCCCCACACTTCTGCTGAGTTATCAAATCCATCTTTCCAAGGGGCTGACTCATTTATTTTAGTAGAGCGCCTCTCTCTAGACAGCGAGAGAGGGAGCGAAATAATTTGAAGCGTTTAATTCCAGATGCGTTTTTCGCCCTCTTCAAAACTGCGAATGCAGGCCACAGTAGAGCGTGTGAGTTAAGCAACTTAAGAGGATTGATGTCATGCCGTGGATTCTAAGTAATAGCTAAGCTGTGAGTTGTTCGAACACAGATACAGCATCCTCGGTTTTTGACTTTACGGGCATATGAGGTTTGAAGTTGGGCTATCAGTAACAAACTTTTGATCCTATTGATTATTCCATCGATCACTCAGGTAAGTTAGGTTACTTTAAAGCGTTCCCAAATCTTGGGCCACTTTTAAAATTTTTGAGTCTGGCTTGGAAAGAAGTAAGGAAGACGTAGATTCTGCCAGCAACAAATGTCCGTGTGGTCACTTAGAATTGGCCACACATTGGTTCCGGATTGTGGAACATTGGTTTCAAAATTACTGTTCAAATTACAGTTTTGAGGCAGAATATTTTGTATTGACAGATTTTTGTCGTCATCTTTACCAACATTTTTTCCCCCACCCTGGTTTTAAAATTACGCACAAGTGGCTAGTTAGCACAGTGGTGTAAGGATATATCATCACGCTCGGTATCCATTTTATTTACTGTTTTTCAAATGATTGTTTATTATTTATGGCCTTGAAGAGTTTTCCATAAAAAAATAAAAATAAAAAAACATTGCGGCCTGGTGGTCCAGTGGTTAGCGCGTAGACCTCACAGTGCAGAGGTACCGGGTTCAATTCCAGCTCCGGCCTCCCTGTGTGGAGTTTGCATGTTCTCCCCGGGCCTGCGTGGGTTTTCTCCGGGTACTCCGGTTTCCTCCCACGTTCCAAAAACATGCGTGGCAGGCTGATTGAACACTTAAAATTGTCCCTACATGTGAATGTGAGTGTGACCGTGGATGCTTGTTCGTCTATGTGTGCCCTGCGATTGGCTGGCACCTGGTTCAGGGTGTCCCCCGCCTACTGCCCGAAGACAGCTGGGATAGGCTCCAGCACCCCCTGCGACCCTTGTGAGGATAAGCGGATCGGAAAAGGGATGGATGGAATCACTTCAGCTCTCTGTTTTTTTACGTTGGTAAACACATCTAACTAATATAAATATATCTCTGTTCAGGGAGTCATCAGGTTACAACAGTTCCGATAGTCAATGTTGTTTCATACAAATATTTACTGCAATTGGTTCAGAGCTATTTTGTCTCCATCGGTTTATACAATTTCTATAATATATGCGATAAAATGAGTAAAAGATGAATAAAAATAATAATTATAAAACACAACTAATTGGTGGACAAACACCGTTAAAAATATCTGATCGTACAACCAGTTTTTCAAGGAATATAAGATCTGGAAGTGCAAAGAATTTAAATAAATACAACAGTAACAAAGTGCTCAAAGTAAGTCATTGTAAGTTACTGTTACGAAATCATTAATGAACAAAAAAACCAAAAACGTTTTGATTGATTTTTTTTTTTTTTTTCTGACAAGCTGCTCTTGTTTTTCTTTTCTGTGTCCAGAAAGCTCGAATGGCCCGTATACATTTAGCCAAGTCCGGCAGCGCCAACGCCTTCCTGCTGAGCAAACGCAACGGACTCCTAAACGAATTGCTGGAGCTGACGGTGAGGAAAGAACTCTGACCCTTCAAACACCAAGGGTGAAATAGATAAGTGAAAAAGTTCCATCAAAAGCAGTGGTGGGGAATCAAACCTTGCACCTCTGCACTGTGAGGCCGACGCGTTAACCAGTCGACCACACGGCCGCCTATTAATCATCCTCATCATCATCATTATCATCATCATCATCATCAACATCATCATAACAATAAAAACTTTACTTTTAGAAATCCGTGATTTTAATGAGGGGATATGAGTTTGGCTACAATCTTCCCATATTTCTTTTGCCTCCGGACGCCACATTAAAGGGACGGATGAAAACCCACTTCTGACCTTGCTTTGTCCGTCCTTTTTAAAAAACATCTCGTCCTCTGTCCCAAAAACGTGTGTCCATTCGCGAAGGATGGATGGACGGTTCCATCCCAGAGACGGAACTGTCCATCCATTTCTGATCGTTACGATAATAATATCATACTGTCATGTTACGATATTGAAGTTGTAACGTTCCAAGAATCAAATCATGTTACTAGAAAGAAGTTATTTCAAGACTAAATTGTAATTTTACTGGAATGGAGTCTTAGCATAACGAGAACAAATTAATGCTACGAGAATGAAGTTGGACAAAAATGAACAAACGTGACAAGAGTCGAGTCATAACCATCTGAAAATGCAGTCCGACATAGCCCTCACAGTTTTGAGAATGAGGTGGTAACGTTATGAAATTAAGTTGTTAAAAAAAAAAAATTAAAGAAAAAGACAGAAACAAGAGACGCTGTTCTTGGAAGTCTTTATTAAAAACAGACAGATTGTTATTCAGTTTGACAGATTAATGACACTGGTTCTTGTCTAACAGCATTAATTACTGCACTCCACTAAACCTTCTTGCGCACGCACGCCCACACATACACACACACACACACACACACACACACACACACACACACACACACACACACACACACACACATAAATTTTCATACTTCGAAGCGCCCCCAAAATGACAATTACGGCCTTAATTAACTGAGGAACATTGTGAAAGTCCTGCCAAAGGCTATAAAGAGCAGCTGAAGTCAGAATGAATACATTCTCGGGGCGTAGGTCAAAAGAGCGAAATCACACACCGTACTTTTCAGTATTTGTCTCTTGCCCAACATTTGATAAAAGCCTTGCCTGCAAAACCAAAGTCAGATTGAAACTTTTATCTGGCTTGTTTTGTTGCTCCTGGGGATAATTAACTATGATGTGCATAACAGGAGCGTGCAAGAGGTGAACAATGTACAAAGGAGGCAAAAAGAGAAAAAAATATGTTTACGGTACGACAAAAATACTTTTGAGTCACTTTATTTTCCTTGGATTTTTTTTTTCTTGGCAGATGCAAGGCTTTTCTATTTTTTTAGGTTTCTATTACACCCCACCAAATGCCAATTTGGTGAAAACAAATTTGAAATGCGTGGCTGACTACATCATCCGCAAGGGGAGATCTTGCAGTTCACCTGGATAAAAGCACTATGTCCACACCAATGTCATGTACGGACCCCATACACACACACACACACACACACACACACACACACACACACACACACACACACACACACACACACACATATATATATATAT